AGGTTCTGGGATATGTTCCAGCACCAGAAAGAAAAGGAGGCAGGCCTGAGGATGTGGTTCAGAGTGCTTGCCTGATATGGAAGCCCTGGGTTCAAAACCCAGCCAGGCACAAAACCTGGTGTGATGGTTCATTCCTTTTAATCCCAAACTCTGGAAGTAAAAGTAGAAGGATCAATGTTAAATTTCAACCCCCACCTCACACACACACCAGACAAACGCTGAGGCGCCTATTCAACATATCAAAGCAGACCTTGCCTCCCAAGCAAAGCTCCCAGTATTCTTCAGTCCCTACCTGTTACAGGGTATGGGTGGCATACTCTACCTACTACCCTGAACTCTCCAGCCCAGGGGCTGGGCTGCCCTTCTCCCAGAGGCTCTACCCTATATGATCTAGACTCTTTTGTAGCTTTGGTCTCCTGGCTGCTACACCTGTCCATAACCCCCTCTTCCCCCTACACACAACAAATACACACACAGGGCCCAGATTAGCCTCAGCATGTCCACTCTGGGACTCTCACAGATGCCCCACTTCTACTACCCTCTCTCATCTACAATAACCTTTCTCCTCCACCATGCCTAGGAGCAGTCATGGCCTTTCCTTTCCTTTCTGTCTTTTTTTTTTTTTATTCAATCAGAAGTTCAAAATCAAGTCAACTAAATGGTTCAGCCAAGAAAGGCACTTTGCCTTCAAGCCATATAACCAGAAATCAGTGCCTTGAGGCCTGTGTGGGGGGAGAACAGACTCGGGCAGTTTTTCTATCAGCTCCACTAGTGTTACATGCATACCCCCACAAACACACACACACACACGAGAAAAAAATATGTTGTTCAAGGTAATCCTCTGCTATGTTTAAAGGGTGAGGAGGTTGATATAGAGAAATAAACTTAGCTAAACAAAAACTTGATAGGTTTGCCAGTATTTATTAGAAAGTTATGTTTGTGAAAACTGTGCATGAAACAGTCCAAATAATTAGAGATTATTTATTATACTGTAATCAAGTATGGACAGCGTGTAGGGGCTGCAGATCGTGTTCCTTCAGAGCCTGACAATTAGGTTGCTCCTAGAATTATACTAAATCCAAGTCTATATAGGAGAGGAAATTAGCCAACAGCTACCTCCTTAAGAAATAATACAGCAGGGTGGTGGTGGCGCACACCTCTAATCCCAGGACTCAGGGGGCAGAGGCAGGTGGATCTCTGTGAATTCAAGGCCAGCCTGGTCTACAGAGGAGTTCCAAGTGAGCAAGGGTTATTACATAGAGAAACCTTGTCTCTAAAAAAAAGAAAAGAAAAGAAAAGAAAAAAATAATGCTGGAGCACTGACCAAACAGAAAAGTCCACTCACAGGAGCTGGTGAGATGGCTCGGTGGTTAAGACTGTGTACTTGCCGGGCAGTAATAGAGCACACCTTTAATCCCAGCATTTGGGAGGCAGAGGCAGGCCTGGTCTACAAAAGCAAGCGATACACAAAGAAACCCTGTCTTGAAAAACAAAAAAAGACTGTAAACTGGTCTCTTGCAGAGGGCTTGAGTTCAGTTCCCAGCTTCCATGGGGGAGTTCACAACAACCTGTAACTCCAGCTCTAGGGGATCCAATACCTTCCTCTGGAATTTTTGGGTAGCCTGCACATACCTACACATAGACACATATAATTAATTAAAAATAATAAAAAGTAGCCAGGCGGCGGTGATATACACTCGGGAGGCAAAGACAGGTGGATCTCTGTGAGTTCGAGGGCAGCCTGGTCTACAAGAGCTAGTTCCAGGACAGACTCCAAAGCTACAGAGAAATCCTGTCTCAAAAAACCAATAATAAAGCTAGGCGGTGGTGGCGCACGCCTGTAATCCCAGCACTTGGGAGGCAGAGACAGGCGGATTTCTGTGAGTTCGAGGCCAGCCTGGTCTACCAAGGGAGTTCCAGGACAGGCTCCAAAGCTACAGAGAAACCCTGTCTCAAAAACAACAAAAAAACCCCCAATAATAATAATAACAACAACAATAATAAAAAGAAGTCCACTTAGAGTGGGCATGTAGCTCCATGATAGAACATATATTCACTGTGCACAGCCCCCGGGGTTAGAGCCATAGCACATAAATGGTAGAAGAGAAGAAAAGGAGAGTCCATTTAGGATCCTAAAGATAGCCTGTGCTGCTTCACTTGCTGGTTTCTGAAGATTGTGTTGCAGGGGATTACAGGGAAGGGGAGTGAGCAGGGAACAGAAGGTATTTGCCAGCACTAAAGCATTTCGGTATTTTCATGGTCAGTAGTATAATTGATAACAATACAGTAGGAACACAGGATGAATATGAGTCCTTGTTCTGGATTGGGTTGTTATCCATAGTCTTTGTGCCTCCCTTTCTAAAGTCCTTCCAGTGTGGCAAGTTCCTAGGGAATTGCACTTCAAGCCTTAATCAGTAAGTATGACTTTGTTTCGAAGTTTGGATGGCTAGATTGTTAGATGTGTTTGTTGTTTGTTTTTAATTCAAAATTTTTAAATTTGTATATTTGTGACATGTACATTGGTTCTCTCCTTGATCCTGAGGTCCATCAATTGAGCTAGAGTGACTAGCTAGAAAGCTCAGGGGATCTATTTCTGTTCCACCTATACTGGATTACAGATGTGCACCATGACATCTGGCTTTTACACGGGTGCTGAGCATTCAAACTCATGTCTTCATGATCGCAAGGCAAGCACTTTACCCACTGAACCATCTCCCCAACCTGGATTTTTGTCTTGGTTTTTATTTGCTTGGTTTTAGATAGGGTCTCAAGTATCACAGGCTGCTATCTAACTTGCTATGTAGTTGACGATAACCTCAAGCTGCTGATCATCCTGTCTTTGCCTTCCAAGTGCTTAGATTACATGCCTGAGATATGAAGCCCAGCTTGGTTTTGTTTTGTTTGAAATGAGGCCAGAACTCTTTTGTCTCCACCTCTCTAGTACCAGGCATGTGACATGTGACACCAATTTAGCCCTGTTTTGATCAAGGAATTATGAACAGAAGGTTGGAGATGTACCTAAGTAGCAGAGGTTTTGCCTAGTTCTTACCTGGTCTGCACAGGGCCTTTAGCCCAGTACTGGAAGTGTGAGGGGAGATAGGGCTTCACGTAACCCAGATTAGCCTTGAACTTGCAATATTGTCAAAGATAATCTTGAACTTCTGACCTTCCTACTTCTTCCTCCCAAGTGCTGGCATGAAACCCTTCCAGGCAGAAATTTATGAAGTGTACATGCTCCTGCCTTATTAGTTTTCCCCTGAAGCACATCACAAATAAATCTGCTTCTCCAAGAATGAAAATGAGCAGAGTCACAGCTAATGTATATGATATATAACATCATTTGAGCAAGAAATAAATCTTCCTTCTTATAAACCGCTGCGATTCCTTTTGTTGCTGCCACAGCTCTCTCTGGGAGTAAACCAAGAAGAGCTCATCTGCAGATATGATCATGAAACAAAACAAACTCTGATCAAGTCATGTGGGAAGATTTTCAAGGAAGGCGAGTGTGAATAATACAATTTAAGAAATGGAGGCTTAATCGGTTTTGTTCAGTGATCTGATTATACCATTTGGAGAGATTTTTTTGAGAAGGGCTTGATCAACAGTGGTATCCCAAACCAAAGTAGTCCCAGAAGGTAACTGTGGAGGTTTGAATGTAATTGAGCCCCATAATCTCACAGGGAATGGCATTATTAGGAGGTGTGGCTTCATTGGAACTTATATGGCCTTGTTAGAGGAAGGTATCACTGTGGGGGCAGACTTTGAGGTTTCCTAGCTCAGGATATTGCCCAATAACTCAATTTCCTGTTGCCTGCAAGATGTAGGACTCTCACCTACTCCTCCAGCACCATGTCTGCCCAGATGTAGCCATGCTCCCTACCATGATGATAATGGACTGAACTTCTGAAACTGTAAGCAAACACCACAATTAAATGTTTTCTTTATAAGAGCTGCCATGGTCAAGGTGTCGTCTCACAGCAATAAAAACCAAAACTAAGGGCTGGAGAGATGGCTCAGTGGTTAAGAGCATTGCCTGCTCTTCCAAAGGTCCTGAGTTCAGTTCCCGGCAACCATATGATGGCTCACAGCCATCTGTGATGAGGTCTGGTGCCCTCTTCTGGCCTGCAGACATAGACAGAATATTGTATACATAATAAATAAATAAATAAATAAATAAATAACAAAACTAAGCCGGGCAGTGGTGGCACAGGCCTTTAATCTTAGCACTCTGGAGGCAGAGATAGGCAGATCTCTGTGAGTTGGAGGCCAGCTTGGTCTACAAAATGAGTTACAGGACAGCCAAGGCTATTTCACAGAGAAACCCTGTCTCGAAAAATTAAAGCCAAGCCGGGCGGTGGTGGCACACACCTGTAATCCCAGCACTCGGGAGGCAGAGGCAGGCAGATCTCTGTGAGTTCGAGGCCAGCCTGGTCTACAAAGGGAGTTCCAGGACAGGCTCCAAAGCTACAGAGAAACCTGTCTCAAAAAACCAAAAAAAAAAAAAAAAAAAGAAAAGAAAAACTAAAGCCAAAACAAATCAAAAAACCCAAACTAAGACAGTAACATTGACATTGGACATACATATTTTATATATGTGTGTGTGTATATATATTATACACACACACACACATATATATATATATATATATATATATATATATTGGTTTTTCAAGACAGGGTTTCTCTGTGGCTTTGGAGCCTGTCCTGGAACTAGCTCTGTAGACCAGGCTGGTCTCAAACTCACAGAGATCCACCTGCCTCTGCCTCCCGAGTGCTGGGATTAAAGGCGTGCGCCACCGTCGCCCGGCTTACACATATATGTGTGTATATATAAATGTATATAATATATATATATATATATTATTAGAGTGGCTTACAGGCTGTGGTCCAGTTAGTATGATAATGCTGTCTCCCAATAGAAAGAATCCAGTAGTTGTTCAGTTTAAAAAAATGGTTGTCAGACAGCCAGACTTTTGCGCCCGACTGTCGGTCTCCTCTCCATGGCCATTCGCGCCACCATGGATCTCTCTGCCATCTATGAGAGCCTCCTGTCGCTGAACCCTGACCTCTCATCCGACCATGGAGGGACTGAGCCCTCAGCACTTTGGAGCATAAACTCATCTGACTCCGTCCCATCTGGGGTCACTTCTAGCCTGACTGGCCGCTCCGCCAGCCTGATGGAGGGCCGAAGCTGTGGTTGGGTACCCCAACCCCCTGGTTTCGCACCCTTGGCTCCCCGCCCAGGCCTTGAACTGTCACCCTCACGTACTTCGCCTCCTGCAACTCCCACCACCTCCTCTCTATACAAGACTGAGCTCTGTCGGACCTACTCAGAGAGCGGGCGTTGTCGATACGGGGCTAAGTGCCTGTTTGCCCACGGCCTGGGTGAATTGCGCCAGGCCAATCGCCATCCCAACTACAAAACGGAACTCTGCCACAAGTTCTACCTCCAGGGCCGTTGTCCCTATGGCTCTCGATGCCACTTCATCCCCCACCCCAACGAGGACCTGGCTGCTCCGGGCCAGCCCCACGTGCTTCGCCAAAGCATCAGCTTCTCAGGCTTGCCCTCGGGCCGCAGAACCTCACCACCACCACCTGGCTTTCCTGTCCCTTCCCTGTCCTCTTGCTCCTTCTTGCCCTCCAGCTCCCCACCACCACGTGGGGACCTTCCGCTTTCCCCCTCTGCCTTCTCTGCTGCCCCCTGGTCCCCTGTGACTCGAAGAGACCCTATTCCAGCATGTTGCCCCTCCTGCCGAAGGTCTACCCCTAGCACCATCTGGGGGCCCTTGGGTGGCCTGGCTCGGAGCCCGTCTGCACACTCCCTGGGATCCGATCCTGATGATTATGCCAGCAGCGGTAGCAGCCTGAGTGGGTCAGACTCACCCGTCTTTGAGGCTGGGGTGTTTGGGCCTCCCCAGCCCCCTGCACCCCCAAGACGTCTCCCCATCTTCAATCGCATCTCCGTCTCTGAGTGACAAATGCCTACCCAGTATGGATCAGCTAGATCTCAAGGAGGGTGGCGCTTATTGCTGTGGGGACCTAGGGAGACTCCTGTTAGTAAGTGCCTCCTCCCTGACATTCCAGAAAGCATTAACCCTACCCTGGTGCTGTGCTGGGGCAGGTCCCTAGTTCGCAAGCTCAGTGTTTGGATTGCTTCCCAGGATCCCTAAGATGTAGTATATTTGAGAGACACAGTTGACAGTTTGGTCTTCTAGGGTTGTTTCTGAGAGAGGCGCTGGTGTGTGGCCCTGGCTGTCCTTGAACTCTAGAAAAGCCTTCCTTAGCTTCCTTCCCAGTTGTGGAGTTACCTAGGTGTGCACCAGCCCCTCCCCAACTCTGGTTTCCTGGAATCGGAAAGTGCTGTGAAGAGCTGGCTCCCACAACCCCATCCCAGTTTTTACTAGACCCCGAGGTTCCACGTTCAGTGTCTGGTGGTTGAATCCTCCCCTGAGGGAGAATCCTGGTGCTCAAATTTCCCTCCAAAAGAAAATAGCCAAAGTCATTGCCAAATCCCTTCCCCAACCAGTGGGCCCTTTATTTATGACGACTTTATTTATTGTAATAAGATTTTATAGTATTTATATATATTGGGTCATCTACTTCGTTTCCCTTTTTGTAATATTAAAATGGATACTGTATAGAGTATACTATAATATATTAAGTAATATATTGTTACCTTACAGGTCTATTTTTGTGGATTTTTGGAATTTTTAAATAAAATCTTGAGTGTGAGCTGAAAAAAGAAATGGTTGTCAGCCGGGCGGTGGTGGCGCACACCTTTAATCCCAGCACTTGGGAGGCAGAGGCAGGTGGATCTCTGTGAGTTCAAGGCCAGCCTGGTCTACAAGAGCTAGTTCCAGAACAGCTATAGAGAAACCCTATCTAAAAAAAAAACAAAAACAAAAAACAAAAAAACTGATTGTTTCAGCTGGTTTTCAGTATATATCTGAATCCCAAATAAGTAGGCTTCAAGTAAAGGGCCAACAAGAGGGCAACCAGGCAGAGAACAAAAGCTTCCCTTCATAGGCTACCACCAGAAAGTGTAGCCCAGATTTAAGGTGGATCTTCCCACCTCAAAAGATTCAATCAGTAAAAATCCTTTCCAGGTATGGTACACCGAGCCACTTGGGTTTTAGTTAATTCCAAATGTAGTCAAGTTGACGACCAAGGACATGCTTTCCTGATGCGGTTGCATGCTGGCCCAGCAAACGTCTATTTGAGGTGGTGTCTCACTCTTGCCCAGGCGGTCTTCAAATGCCAGGGCTCAAAGTCATCTTCCACCTCAGCCTCCCCAGTAGCTAAAACTGCAGGTATGTGCCTCCAAAACCAAAACAAACAAAAATACCTTGTATTAGCCGGGCGATGGTGACACATGCCTTTAATCCCAGCACTCAGGAGGCAGAGGCAGGCGGATCTCTGGGAGTTCAAGCCCAGCCTGGTCTACAAGAGCTAGTTCCAGGACAGGCTCCAAAGCCACAGAGAAACCCTGTCTCGGAAAAACAAACAAACAAACAACAAAAACCTTGTATTTTGCTTTACAAATCAGATTCTGATTTATATAAAAAAACAGTTTCTGTGACTGTGTGACTATCAAAGTCCCCCAATACGGAGACTGTTCCACTCTCTGATCAGTGTAAACATCAGGCTTCTGAGTCTGAAAAAGTTAAAGATCAACTCTGGGGCCCTGGAAACTTCCTGAAGGTTCTCAGCAGTCCAGAGAGGCCTGTCTGGAAGATGGCCAGATGGACTCTGAAACCGCTGCCTTTCATGGTGTGCTGCCTTTGATCTGAGAGGAAAACAGAGGGATAAAGTGATGGGCTCTTGGGGTCTTAAAAAGAGAAAGAAATTACAGTCACTTGATATGAAATAGTGGAGGGAACTCGGGTAAAACTAGCAAGGACGTAATTGAACTATGTCTTGGGGAAATGAAAAGAATTGCTGGACAGCCCACCATGTATATAGCTAGCTGGCTATAAGCAAATTATAGGAACTGAGGGCTCCATTGAGGGAAGTAATCACATGTAAAGATATATTATAGTCAAACAGAGGTTTAATTCCCTGCCAGGGAGAATTAGTCATGGATTTTTGTTGGTTGGGTTTTTGTTTTAAGTTATTTTGAGGTTTTTCTTTGTTTTTGACGAATTCTATTATTTGGTTGGTTGGTTTTGTTTTGATGTTGGGATCTGCTTCTTCTGTTTTTCTAGTGTGTCTGTATATGAAATGTATGTTTGAATGTGTGCATGTGTGTGTGCATGTGTGTATTTAGCTGTGTATGCATGTGGAGGCATAAGACTGACACTAGGCAAGGTCTTCGTTCACTTCCCATATTGTTCGTTGATCTAGGGCCCCTCACTTGGATGCAGAGCTCGCTGATAAGACTTGTAAGTCTACCGGGAGGGAGTGGTGGCACAAGTGTACCTTTAATCCCAGCACTCGGAAGGCAGAGGCAGATGGATTTCTGTGAGTCTGAAGTCAGAGTGAGTTCCAAGACAGCCAGAGCCACTCAGAGAAATCCTGTCTCAAAAGAAACAAATACTATTAAGTCTAGCCAGCTTGTTTCAGGGATTCCCTCTCTGCCTTCCAAGTGTTGGAATTAGAGGTATGCTTCCATGCCTATAAAGGTACTGGGGTTTGAACTCTGGTCCCTATATTTGCACAGTGTGTTAGCCAGGGTTTTATCCACTGATTTGTCTCCCAGCCCAGGCTATCCTTAAATTCACTATGTGATTTAGGCTCACGTCAAGCTCTCAGTCCCTCTGCCTGGGATTACAGGATTGTGTCACCATCTCTGGTTGTCTTATTCTCCTCCTCCTCCTCCTCCTCCTCCTCCTCCTCCTCCTCTTCCTCCTCCTCCTCCTCCTTCTTCTTCTCAGACTCTCACCATGTAACTCTGACTGGACTGGAACTTCACATGTAGACCAGGCTGGTCTCATTCACAGAGATCCTCTCTACTTCCAGAATCCTGACATTAAAAGTGTGTGCCACCACTCTTGGTAACCATGTTTCTTTTTTATATTAAACATTTTATTTAATGTGTGAATATAGTACACTTTGTTTTTTAGTTCATCCAGTTATTTATTTCCACCGTTGGGATGTTATGAATAATACTGCTTTGAATACCAGTGTACACACTATATGGTAGCTCACACTGGGGAAGCTGACTGGAGGATTTCTGCGAATTCAAGGCCAGTTTGGGCTACAGAATGAGACCCTATTTCAAGACGACCACCACAAAACATAGCGTATTGAGTGTTGGAGTCCTTTCATCTCTTTTGGGGTGTGAATCTACAAGTGATCTTACTGAATTATATGACAAGCCTATGTTCAATTGCTTTGAATAAATATCTTACTATTTTTCAGTGTCTAGACCATTTAACATTCCAAATATAAGTTTTTCTAAAGGTGAGTGTAATCTAGTCAAAACTGTGTTTAAAGACAATCCAGAAGCCAGAGTCAATGGACTAGCATGATCAGTTGGGGCAAGATATGATGAGAATCCGAATCCACTAACAGCACTGAGAATACAGGGAGAGCATAGGGATGCAGAGGGGGGATGCAGAAGGGGCTATTACTGCGGTGGGATTGAAGGGGATTAATTATTGATGACTATTGAGGGGGCAAGGGACAGAAAATAAATCAGGGTGTTGGTACAACTCTCATATTTCACACCTGGAACAATGGTAGGTAGTCTTCAGATGGAGGATGAGTCTGTAAAGTTTAAGCCTGGGCATGTGGCATTTCATTACAAGCAGATTGTAAGCTGCAGAACAGACACCTGTTGTCGCAATACACAACTGATATCCCTTTGTCCTTTAAACTGATAACAACCCCTTCTTCCTTCCTTTTTTTTTATTTATTTATTATGTATACAATATTCTGTCTGTGTGTATGTCTGCAGGCCAGAAGAGGGCATCAGACCTCATTCCAGATGGTTGTGAGCCACCATGTGGTTGCCGGGAATTGAACTCAGGACCTTTGGAAGAGCAGGCAATGCTCTTAACCACTGAGCCATCTCTCCAGCCCCTTTTTTGTTTTTTTTGAGACAGGGTTTCTCTGTAGCTTTGGGGCCTGTTCTGGAACTAGCTCTTCTGGACCAGGCTGTCCTCAAACTCACAGAAATCCACCTGCCTCTGCCTCCTGAGTGCTGGGATTAAAGGCATGCACCACCACTGTCCGGCCCTTCTTCCTTCTTCCTTTCCTCTTCTCTTCTCTTCTCTCTCTCTCTCTCTCTCTCTCTCTTTCTCTCTCTCTCTCCTCTTTCTTTCGTTCTTTCTTTCTTTCTTTTTGGTTTTTCGAGACAGGGTTTCCCTGTAGCTTTGGAGCCTGTCCTGGAACTAGTTTTTGCAGACCAGGCTGACCTTGAACTCACAGAAATCCACCTTCCTCTGTCTTCAGAGTGCACGTGGCAGTGGCACCGCTGCCCACTTGCTTTTTCTTTCTTTTTAAAGGCAGGGTCGCATGTAGCCCAGGCTCACCTAGAACTTGCTTTGAGTGTCTTCACATGGCTAACACACTCTATTCCCCTACGTCCACCCTTTTTGTTGTAGAGTCATCCTGCATCTCTATCAATCCCAGTCTCTGAGGGTATAAAGCCACATGAACGTAACTCTCACATCTCTGGCTACGGGAATTGTAATTTTCTTTTTTCTTTTTTTGGTTTTTCAAGATAGGGTTTCTCTGTAGCTTTGGAGCCTGTCCTGGAGCTTGCTCTTGTAGACCTCGAACTCACAGAGATCCACCTGCCCCTGCCCCTACCTCCACCACAGCCGGTCGGGAATTGTAATTTTCAACAGGCAACTACAGAGCTCTGAAATCCATTGTCCCTTACTCCGAGGCCTTCCTCCCCACAGGCTGCTGTTCCCAGAATAAGCAGTGCTTTTCTGATGGATTACTTTGACTCAAGGACTCCTCAGTACCCTCATCAACCTTTTTCTACAACCACATTGCCTTCTAGACTGTTCCCTCTGCCGGGCGGTGGTGGCGCACGCCTTTACTCCCAGCACTCGGGAGGCAGAGGCAGGCGGGTCTCTGTGAGTTCGAGACCAGCCTGGTCTACAAGAGCTAGTTCCAGGACAGGCTCCAAAACCACAGAGAAACCCTGTCTCGGGGGAAAAAAAAAAAAAAAAAAAATAGACTGTTCCCTCTAAACATCTTGCTTCCCTCTGTCCTTCACTCAGGGTCAAC